AAATTTAAAAGAAAGATATCTTTTTAGAACAACAACATCTAAAAAATAAAAGAAAAAATAAAAGTAAACTTAATTAATTAGACGATTTTAAATAAAGTCTACAAATTAAAATAAGGCTAAATTTAATAAAAAATTTATAAAATAAATAAAAAATAAAGGAAGTTTCTAAAATTGAATGAATAAAAAAAATGATTCAAAAAAAAATAAAATCTAAACCGTAAAGGAAAACAAATTAAATTAACTAAACAAACAAAATAACTTAAATAATTTTATAAAAACTAAGTGAAATCAAAATCTAAAAATTTAGTAAAAAAGGAAGAACATTCAATTGAAAAATAATAAAAATTAAATATTTTCCTAAAAATCAAATGAAATAAAATTTTTTTTAACAATAAAATTTAAAAATAAAGAAAAATTATATAAAAAGAAAAAACTTTATTGAAAACATAAAACCTCAATATGTTTAAAAAAAAACTGTTTGATTCTATAACAATAAAAATTAAGAGAAAACTAAACTAAAATAAGTTTCTTAATATTTAATAAAACTAAAAATATTTGTTTTTTATAACAATAAAATCTAAAAATTTAGGGAAAAAAATTAACAAAATAAATAAAAAATTAAATAAGTTTCTAGAAATTAAATTAAATAAAAAAAATATAAAAAAATTAAATTAGAAAGAAATATGTACATACCTACAATAAGTTTCTAAAAATCAAATTAATTTAAAAATATACATTTTCTCCGCTTTAAAACAATAAAATCTGAAAATTAAATAAGAAATTAAAAAAGAAAATAAACGCTTAATTAACAGAAGGAACGATAAATGAAAAAATTATAAAAAAAAAACATTCCGCTGAAGGGTGCAGCGTAATAATGTCAATTGACATAAATTCACTTTTGTAAGGGAATTAATGTCAATGACATTAGCACAGAAACCAAAAGTGAGTTACTCCGCGCGAACGGGTGTTGTTAATATTTTTTCTTTTTAAGAGTAATAACGCCGATGGGTTTTTACTCCGCTTTCGAAAAGGTAAAAAGGTTTTATTTATAAAATAAAATTTACGGGGTTATTGAATTACCAC